GGAGTACATTTTAAAACTTGGAAACATAGGCTGTAACCTCAGTCCTCAGGTTTATGCACTAAATTCTTATTAATTACTCCATACTCTATTTGTCTCATAATACAATTACTCTTTGAATTTTTACGCGGGAATTAAGAAACTTATAAATTCCTTAAAATTAATGATTAGAAGTACACATGTGAATTTGGAGTTAGAGAGAGATAGAGAGAAAGAAAAAAGTAGTTGGAAGTAATTGAAGAGATAAAAAGAAATTGTTTGAAATTTTTTTATGTTAAAAGTAGAGAATGAAGAAATATGACAACTCACCAAAAAGAGAGTAGTAATGCCAAAAGTACAACCTTTAAATAGAAAGAGACATTGTATTTTGGTTTACCAAAAAGAAAATGAGACATTGTATCATGAGACGGAGGGAGCACTAAATTACGCCATATACTCCGTACCATGTTATACTTTTAATGTGTGTGTGTGTGGGTTTTTTTGTGTGTGTGTGTGTGTGTGTGTGTGTGTTTGTCAAAAACTAGTGTATAAATGCTAGGGTGAGCATAACAGGGTATCCTGTTAAAATTCCTGGAACCGCAACTGGTTACTCAAATTGGGAACCGAAATCGAAACAAACCGAAACCTGTTGAACAAGTTCATGGAAATTGGGTACCCTGTTTTGTAATATATTTAATTTTTTTTTTTTTTGCAGATTTTCGTATAAATAACTAGATGGTTACTAATTTATAATGTTTATAACTTACAAATAAAACAAATTAATAGTAATTGTTGAAAAAATTTAATACATATATTTATAATTTTAATTTTGATATTTATTAATTAAAACTAGTATAGAATTGGTGAAAATTTTGAACTTATGTGATATTTATCAGGTTACAGGATACCCTACAGGTTGTGGTTCCAAAAAATTGAGAACCTGAACCGAAACCTGATACAAGAGGCTCACATTTTTCTACGCGAAACCGGAATCTATTCTACAGATTCTGTTTTCGAAACCTGCGGTTTCTAACATGTTCCGGTTTCGAATCAGGGTATCCTGATTTTTTTTTTGCTCACCCCTAATAAATTCTTATCAATTATCATGCATGCAATAATATATTGGTCCAAAATTTAACTTTATAACAAGGGTTATTAGCTTAGTCTTATAGCCTGTTCACATTTATTGAAATGAGCTGAACTGAACCGAACTGAATTGAACTGATTGGAGCGGAGCTGAACTGAACTGATTGGAGCGGAGCTGAACTGTACTGAGTTGAAATGAATATTTTATGAGAAAGAGAAATTAAGAGCTAAACTGAACTGATTGGAGCTGAACTGAACTGAACTGAATTGAAATCAAGTAAATGTGAACACCATTTCGTCGTTGTATTGATGTGAGTCAATATTTTACTTTTTTCTTTTACCTATTTAAATAAGTTGATAGACTAAATACTATCTACGGTCCAAATTACTCGCAACTTTGGAGTAGTTTGCGGAGGCCAAGGAAAAATTTCCTAAGCATGATTATTAAAAGATAAGGGTATACATTTAAGTATTAATGAAGTAATTAAAAAAAAAACAACAAATTCAACCCAATTTTAAAAAAGAAACCCACAACCACCAAACCACCGACCACGACCACTAACGTATGACCACCAACCCAGCCACGACCACCAAACCATCGACCACGACCACTAACCTACGACCACACCCAACCATGACAACCAACCTAGCAAACCCGACACACCGACACCGAAACCACCAACCCAACAAACCGAAACCACAAACCCTAACCCCATTGATTTGAAACCCACAAGGCAACCGATCTTAGACCAAGATGTCGTCGATCCCTACCAATCTTAAACCAGGAGGAAGGAGAGGAGGGAGAAAACTCATTCTCTTCATTATTACCAACGAACCTCGCCGCTCTTAACACCACAAAGCCACCATGAAAACGGGGTTGGAGGAGGAGAGAGAAAATTAAAGGGGATGAGGGTTTAACTAATTAGGCTTGGGGTTTAATCTAATGAAATTAGATTTGTAATTTAATAAGGTTGTTTAAAAATAAAAGTAACGGTACATTGGTCAATTACCACCCAAAAATTTACTAAAAAGGGTAAGAAAGGGGAAATTTGTGAGTAATGTGGACCGACCCAAAAAGGAAATAGTTGCGAGTAATTTGGACCGGAGGTAGAACAATTTGTTTATTTATTTTAGGGAAATTCTCATTGGTAGCAACAAACTATTGCACATTCTCATTGGTAGCAAATTTTTTTAAAAAATCTCTTAAATAGCATTAGTAATCTAATTACTCTCTAATATAGTATTATTTTACTTAAACTAACATAATTAATTTAATTGGACTAACCATGGTTACATAATATGGAATGGACTAAAATACCCCCTTTTAATTTTGTAAATGCATCCCACTAATCAATTAATAAAGGCCCATTCATTGAAGACTTTGCCGTTGAACACTATCGAACGTACCTGCTGCTGCGTTGATGATTTTCGAGCGCTAAACAACAATCATCAATCTAACAATTTCAATCCTAATCTCTCCAAGGTGCTGAATTTCGACTTTGGGAAGGTATGTCCACTACAAGAAAATAACCTTTTCGTAGCGATTATTTTAGCCTTTAGTATCGATTGTAATTGCAACAAAAAGTTTTCCCAACGAATGGTCATTCAATACAATATCCCTCGCTCCCTTAGCCTTTAGTAGTGGTTTTCAATATCGTTGGGGTTGGCCTCAATAATCGATACAAAAAACTACATCCAATCGTGGTGATTATTGTAACGATTACAATCGCTATAAATGTTTAACTAATTTTCTTCAAAAAAAAAAAAAAAAACATGCGTATAATCTTTACTAGATTCGAACATGCAACCTCAAACTCTTATATTAAATGTTTCACCAATAAGTTATGACATATTTTATGTATTCTTTGTCAAACAATATTTATATATCTAGTGTTGAAAAGGCTTTTCATATCGATTTTTAGGATTTAGTGGCTATTGTAAATGATACGATTTCTCAAAATTATATAAATGTGTAAAAATAGTGTGGATATGTATTATTATGTTTTCTGTATCGATTTTATATGGGAAACCCATGGCGATTGTAAAATGATACGACTTCCTTAATTATTTCACAATCATACTTGCATATTGTAGCAAATGTACAATCGCTACGAAATAATAGCTACGAAAAGACATTTTTCTTGTAGTGGTCATCCTATCTGAACCCTAAATTTTCTGTTTTTTCGAATTGAAATGTATTGTTATAATTGCTCTGTTTTTTCCATGGATGATTATTTGAGAAATCTGGGTTTTTATGTGCTGAAATTTTGAATCTTTCTAGTAATTTAGGGTATGTTTTATTGTTAATTGGTGTGTGGCTTGTTTTGGGTTTTTATATGTCAATTCATGTGGTTGTAATGGAGAAATTCTTGTGTATTTTTAGGGTTGTTAGTTCTGTCCAAAATAAGTTGAATGTTACGAATTTATTGAGTTAATGTTGCAAGTTGAATTGAGATGTGTATTTGGTTTAATAAATGCAGAATGGGTGATGCTATTCTGTTGAAATTCAAGTTTAGAAGTGGTGATGTAGATGTTGTTGTCGAGGACATTGATAAGACAAACCTTATTGATGTGATCATAGATTATTGGGATTATGCCGTTGAACGACGTATTGAAATGCCCAAATTCCCTACATTTAGATATGTGCATAACAAAAATTACCACTATCTTAATAGTGATAAGGACTTAATGAAGATGTTCTATGACTTTGCTGGAAAGAATGAGATACACATATGGGTGTATGATGCTAATAGTCCAAGTTAAATTTTTAAAGATGCTAAGGCTTTAAGGACAACTAGGAATGCAAGACAGATTAAGGAACAAATGAAAGGTGTTGCAGAATCTGCTAGTATTTCAGTCTCTGTTAACTTGGATGAAATGGGTGATTTGACTCAAAAAAGAGATACTGTCAAAACTAGAGGTGGGAGGTGTGGGGGTAGGGGTGAATATAGAGGTGTGGTGGAGTTAGGGGATCAACCAATTGAGGATGAGGATAATTTAAATGCAGATGTTCAGTTAGTTGGTAATACAGGGAAAGGGGTTGGGAGAGGCACAGGGAGAAGAAGGGGCCAAGATAGAGGGAGGGGAAAGGGTAGAGGGAGATGGGGTGGGAGAGGAAGGGGTACTGGAGGGAGGGGAAGGAGATTTGAGTACTGGTTGGGGCTTGAAACCGGGGACACAGAAGGAGTTGAATCAGGGATTGCAACTGACATAGGTGCTAGTGAACCTGAAAATGGGCCTGAGATTGAAGCAGACATAGGTGTTAGAGTGGTTAGAAGAAGTCCAAGGAAACATAAAAAATCTGATAACCCTCCACTACCATTGCAACCTGAACCTATTTCATCCTTATCCTCTAAAACACTAGTGTTAAGAAAGAAAGTGTCAAATACAACAACTAGGAGAAAAGGGTTGTTAGCTGCTAGTAGTTCAATGTCTATATCTAATGGTGGAACACATGACATAGTTTCACTTGAAGATTTGGATATGGACTCTGACCAAGAAGAAGATCCACCATTCACCCATTCTGGACAAGTGAATAACTCTTCTAGCGATGTTGAAGCTTTAGATGATGAAGAGGATATGCAACTAAGTGATGTTGATGATATGGTGGTATGTGATAACTATGACCCTTATGAAGATGATGTTTGGGTAGATGATGGGGATGGGAATTACTTTGCAAAGCTTTATAAAAATGGAGAAATGTTTGATAGAGAAGAAGATGGGAGAATAGAACTAAGACCATGGCAACTTTTTTGTGACAAACAACATTTAAGAGAAGTTGTTAGAGATTATTGCATACAATGTGGGTTTTCTATTGTTTTTTATAGGGCAAATAATTCCATCTACACAGTGTACTGTTCTGCAGAAGGTTGTGAGTGGAGGCTCCATGCTTCCAAACTGACAGATGGGTTCACTTGGGCTTGGAGATAAAAAACCCTATGGTAACTGCAAAGTGGGCAAGCAGAGTTCTGTTAGAAGACATTAGAGCTAATAATGATATATCTGGTAAGGCTTTGAATGTTTTGTTATGGAATAGATACAATGTGCAAATGGCTACTAGTACTTTGTATCGCGTCAGAGCAAGGGCTTTAATAGAGATACATGGTGGCTTTGATGAATCTTATGCATTTTTGCCTGGTTATTGTGAGATGATTAGGAGAATTAACCCTGGTTCAGATGCTACTTGTGTATGGAATCCAACAACTCATGTTGACAGGCCATTGGATTTTGTCACAATCTTCATTTCTTTTAAGCCTTGTTTGGATGGGCTAAGGGATGGAGTTAGGGGTTTTGTGGGAGTTTATGGAACTCACTTGAAAGGGAATTGTGTGGGGGGGGGGGGGGGGGTTCTACTGTCTGCTATTGCATTAGATGGGAACAATGAGTTGTTTCCATTTGCATGGGGAATTGTGTCTACTGAAGATTCAGATACATGGAGCTTTTTTGTTCATCATTTGAGAGATCTACTAAGAGCAACTGGAAGAGGAGATAATTGGTGCATCATCTCAGATAGGAAAAAGGTATACTTTTGTAGCTATAAATCTATGTTAAATTGCAATTTTTTTTTTTTTTTGCATTATCTAGACTGATATTGATTGCCAAATTAACAGGGTATTGAAGCTACACTTGACAAGGTCTGGCTAGATGTTGATAGGAGATACTGCACCAAACATTTGGCTGCCATGGAAGAAAGCACTTCCAGGTCCATTAATGCTCTCTCTGTTTTGGAAAGCATGTGGTGCCTATTCAGAATTTACCTTTAAGAAAGCAATGGAGCAAATGGACAAGGTTGGAAAAGGAGGTAGATTGTGGCTTGCAAAGCTTGGAGAACAATCTAGGTGGACAAAGCATAAGTTCAACACTGCAACAAAGTGTGACTCTAATAAGTCAAACTTTGTTGAGAGTTTTAATGCCACTCTTGGCATTGACAGATGTAGACTAGTCCTTACACTTTTAGAAGGTACAATTTAATTCTGAGTATTACTTGCATTACTTGTTAAACCTGTCCTTACTTGCATTAATATGGCTACTTTTGTTTCATAATTTACTTACTTTTGGTAGGTATTAGATTAAATACCATGGTTAGATTGGCAACAAGAAGGCAAAAGTGTGAGGAGTGGAGCTGTAACACCCCAATAATTCTCCCTTTTCCAAACCACTTACTTTAAATAAAAATAGAGGAGAACCATTGGCATGTCACCGCCACGTGTTAAAACGTTAAGGCTTTATCAAAGTATTGCAGCGGAAATCCAACTTAAATCTTAAAATAATATAATTTAGAAAACCAATAAGTCAAAGCTTACAAATTGGAACCATAAAGGCCCTTATTTAAAACCAAACCAATAATCAAAGTCCCAAAACATAATTAAAGTAGTAAAATATAAATAAGTTCAACACAAAGAACGAATACCCTCAATCACACCAATCCCTTGACAATGCGTATATCAAATCACCGAACTTCACATCATCAAGCTAACCTGTGCAATACTGCTCCCCAATAATACAAGTGTAATAATTGGATCATCACAGGGTCATTGAAAGGCGAAGGCCATGACCAAAAGAAAACACACAAAAGCACGCAATCAGCAAAGCTGAGTACATACAAGCTACAATGCAAAAAACCTGACATGCTCAACTAATTAAAGTAAATAAACATACAACTTGAATTCATTAATCAAGACTCCACACTTAAACAATTCAATTGACTCAACATACTTTCTAACCAATTCTAAACACTCGACTCTTTATATTTAATTTAATTAATTTAGTTTGGAGTAAGCAATAGACGAGGTTGTCCAATCCACCAAATCATTTTGGTCCCAAATGACCATTTAAAATAAAAGTTTAGCGCGATGTAAGAATGGGCGCGACTCCATTCTCACAAAGTTAGTCTAGGATCCCATCTAACTTTCATTATAAAATAAAATGTAAATACCAAAAGAAAAGAGGACATGTTGATCAAACAAGCCTCGGAAAGCCACGGGCTACCACCGTGTACCCCAACCCATAATTGTCAATACTCTAGAAGTGCACGCTTTCTAAAGTTTTATTGCTCATCCATGTGTTCAATATACGCGATTACAATTTTAATTAATAGTCGACTCAATCCAATAGACCATACATAAAAATCATAAATCAATTTATTTTTAATCCTATTTAGGACAATGGTGATCACATCACAAATTTACCTTTAATTTCATTAAACTTCCAAATTATCCAAATTGTTGAACATAGTCAACTCACCTAGCCATTTCGGCTTAATCCACCTTTACTCAACATACTAAAAAGTCATGATTGAGTAATAAAATAAATAACAACCTTGTGGAATAATTAATAAATTCATTCCACTTAAACCATTCAATTTCAATCCTTTAATAATCCAAATGTGGTTAACAAACCAATCCAATAAAAATATGCTAGTATCAACATTCCATACAAATAATTAATCCAATATAATTCAACATGTTTGCATCCATAATCCCATACAAACATAATCAATTTACCAAAACATGTCTCATAAACATAAGCACATGAATTAATTAAATGTATAACCAAACAATTTTCATCCAAGTGTTCTCTAATCATGAAACTAAGTTCTTTTATTTGGTACCTAAACATGATACTACTTACAACGAAGTAGACAAGTACGTACCTCGTATAAACAATCCTTTGTGCCACTTTTAATCAATTAAAAGTCTCCTAGGGAATAATCACTTCCTAGAAAACAACCAATAAACACAAATTAATACTTAACCAAATTTCCAGCAATATAAATTAGATTAAAAGTTCTTAAAACTTCTTTTAAAACATGTTTTTATGCTTAATTAATCAATAGAAATACAATAGGAACAAAAGCCCCAAATTAATTGATCATAAGAACCCTAAAATCCAAATTTCAATAAATTAAAACCCTTGGTTTATAATTCATAAAATCTGAAAATTTATAACATAATTAAAATCTGAAATTATTAGTTTAACACATCAAAAACATGATTTTGATACTAAAAATATAATCTTTATACTACAAAATCAAAACCCAAAACAATTTAATAATAAACAAGATAGTAGAACAAAAATAAAAGGAGGAGGAAAGAGGGACAGCCACGGTGCGCCACGGCTGGGCCACTTGGTGGGTCGCCGGCGGTGGTGGGCAGCAGACGGTAGCAGGGGAAGCAGTGAGCTATGCTCACGTGAAGAAAGAAAAGAAAGAAAGAAAAAGAAAAGAAAAAAAAGGGAAAAGAAAAGGAAAGAAAAAATAAGGGAAAAAAATAAGGAAATAAAATAAAGAGAAGAGAGTTTACTAACCTTTTTGTGTGGAGAAAAATTTGGGGATATATGGGGTATTTATAGGAGAGAGAGTGGTGTAGGGCAAGTTGTAAGATTGGGCCTCATAAAATTAATGGGCCAATCAAGTATGTAAAGTGAGATTGGCTTTGATTGTTTGGACATGAATTATAGAATGATGGTTCATAAAAATCATATTGTAATAAAAATAATTTTCCACCCAAAATAATTTGAAACTTTTGAAATTAAATTCCAGAAAAATACAAATAAATATTATAAATAAAATATAATTTCATTTATAATATATTTAAAAATACGGGGGATTACAGGAGCAGGACTGACATCTGTCCAAACATAGTGCAAAGGGTTCATAAGCTATGTCAGAACTCAAAAACTTGCCACTCTTACTTGTCTTATGCCGGTGAGTTTGAGGTCTTTGAGGGTAAGTCATATCTTGTTGTCAGCTTGAATAAGCAAACATGTGCTTGTGGTCAATGGCAAATTTCTGGAATTCCATGCAGACATGGAATGAGGGCTATATTAGATTCAAAGCTTGACCCTCATGCATTTGTGGATGAGTGATTTTCTGTCAAAAGGTACAAGGCAGCCTATGCAACTGGGATTAAGTCCATACCTGATGCTCAACAGTGGCCTGAGTTCAATGTGCCAAAGATAATGCCACCTGAGTTAAAAAGAGGAATTGGGAGACCTTGCAGAAACAGAAAGAGAGATGATACAGAGGAAAGGAAGGGAAAGAAAGCTAAGACTGTTAGGTGCAGCAAGTGTCAAGATTATGGCCATAATGCTCAGACTTGTAAGGGAGGAGCTACTGCAAAGCAAAAATGGGGTGGAAAGAAAAAGAACACAAAAAAAGGATGCATCTTCTCAGGCTACTAATGTTCAGCTTAATCCTTCTCTACCTAGAAACACCAGACAGAGTGCAAGGTTGGCTGCATCTCAACCACAACCATCTATAGTCACCGGATCAGGAGCTATTTGTAACTTTGCATCACAACCAAGAAAAGTGCAATAACTTATTAGATGAGTAAACATGGTGGATATTCTTTTTTTTTTTTGAGCAATATGTTTTTTGCTTGAACAAGTGGTTTATTTCAATTTGAACTTTGTTATGGATGAATGTCAAAACCTTTTTTTTGGGATCATTTGTATATTCTATCATTTTTGGGATTGAAAATGGCAGTTTGTTGATTATATATGAATGTCAATTCTAGTCAATTTTGATGTCATCTCACCATGTCCACCCTACCTTTGTTTTGGGTCACTTCTGCATTATTTTGCAGCATAAAGCATCTGAATGTATTCGCAGATTGATGTCCAACAAGTCGATGACTAACTCAAGAGGTGGTTGTAATAGCCATGATGTTAACAGATCATGGACATTTGTGGATACCAGGTTATTTGCTTCGTAAAGTAGTTGTCCTGGCTCATGGAAGGCATGCATTGACATTAACAGTTCATATGTGGCAGGGTAGTCACCAGATTCTCTTCGACATCAAGTGTATGCATCTGAAAGCCAATCCTATAGACCTGCTAAATACGGGTGTATCACCGAAAAACAAAAGCAAGCAGTGAATAAACACTCCCAGTGATTGGTTTATTCAGTCCAATCTCAGAGCAATTTCTGATAAGTTCAGAATAGAGTATAAAATCCTAAGATTGGATATTGTTCACTCTAATATCTGAGATCAGTTCCAAAAACAGAAGCATATAGCTAAATTTAGCTAGGTTATGAGTTACGACAGTTCTACATGATAATATTATGATTCAAGTTAGGAAGATATGATAGAATATTTGCAATATCTTATAGTTAGGCAAGATATAATTCCTAGCTATATTTATGTTATTATCTTATGCTAGGATAATTTAGTTTCCTAGTTTAAGTTTATCTTCCTTGGAGCTCAAGGGAACTCTTGTATAAATATTGACCTTGATTAATGAGAAACGGAGGCCATTGAATCATAATATTATCATGGTATCGGAGCTAAGGTTCCTTCAATAATAAAATTAAAAAAAAAATTCGACCACCATGGCCGACATACCACCGCCACCGCCGCCTACTAAAATCGAGCCTAATTCTCCCTATTACCTTGGACCTCAAGATCGTCCGGGTGATTTTATCACTTCTCAAAGACTTAAACTTGACAATTTCAATGAATGGTCTCAAACAATTTATATTGCATTGTCGTCGAGACGCGAATTTGGTTTTCTTGATGGCACAATCACGAGCTATGCTCCTCCTTGCACAAAAGATGATTGGGTTACGATACACTGCATGCTCGTCTCATGGCTTATGAACACCATTGATCCGGAGGTCCGTACTATGCTGTCAAATTATGTTAATGCCAAAAAGCTATGGGATGACTTGCAGGAACGGTTCGGTCTTGTTAATGGCCCACGCATTCAACAAATTAAATCAGAGATTAATCGCTGCGAGCAATCGAAATCAATGCCAGTCGCGGTGTATTTTAGCAAGCTATCGGTGCTTTGGGATGAGCTTGATAAACATGAGCCACTGATTGGATGCAAGCGTGGCAAGTGCACTTGTGATGTGGGGAAGCAGCACGCAAACCGTCGAGAAGGAGACCGGCTGCAACAGTTCCTTCTTGGTCTTTACTCGGAGTACTATGCTACACTTCGCTCCACGCTCTTATCGCAAGATCCGCTGCCAACATTGAATAGAGCCTTCCAAACCATAGCCCAAGAAAAACGTGTTCGGGGTATTGCGAACATCAAAGAAGAGCCGCCCGAGGTGGCTGGGTTTGCCGTTCGAATGGAACCCAACACCAAGCCGCGTCTGTCCCGTGCTGAAAGAGCAGCCTTGGTGTGCACGTATTGTAACAAAAAGAGTCATGATTCAACTACATGCTTTGATAAGCATGGTGTCCCTGCGTGGTATATTGAGAAGTATGGTTCGAAAGATGAAAACAAGGGGGCTGGCCATGGGAGATCTGCACCTGTCAAAGCCAATGCGACCCCCGCCAGCCACCCACCTGCAGCCGCATCTGCTGCTCACCTAACCCCCGAACAGTGGCAGGTCGTGATGGGTAATGCTATGCCCCCTTCTAACCGTGTCAATGGTAAGTGGATAATTGACACCGGTTGCTCGCATCATGTAACCGGTGATATATCTCACTTATTAAATTTGCGTGATGTTCCCTCATGCAATGTAGGCCTTCCGGATGGTAAAAATCTAGTCGCCATGAAAGAAGGGGATGTTAGACTAACGGACAAAATTACTCTCTATAATGTTCTTTTTGTTCCTAAATTAAATTGTAATTTAATTTCGGTTTCACAATTGTGTTCAACAAATAATTGTGAAGTCATAACTAACTCATCTATATGTACTATACAGGACCAACGCACGAGGGAGGTGATTGGCACGGGTGATCTTAGGGATGGACTATACTACCTTCGTGAGGAGGCATCTCTTGCAACAATTTCGGTTGAAGATACCTTGAGACTTTGGCATAGGCGATTGGGTCACCCTTCCGAAAAAGTTGTAAAATTACTACCTTTTCTAAGTAATTCTAGTGGTCATTTAAATAAAGATTGTGAAGTGTGTCATCGTTCTAAACACGCTAGAGACAAATTTCCTTTAAGTACCAATAAAGCTTCTCGTGTTTTTGAGATTGTGCATTGTGATTTGTGGGGGCCATATGACAAACCTTCTTCTTGTGGAGCACATTATTTTTTAACCTTGGTTGATGATTATTCTCGTGCAGTGTGGATATATTTATTGAATAATAAAACAGAGGTGTTTAAAATATTTTTGTCCTTTATTGCCATGATTGATAGACAATTTTCTCAGAAAATTAAAATTGTAAGGAGTGACAATGTGTTACGGTCCGGGAGTTTGGACCCCGAAACGTGCGGCGTGCTCTAGCCTTTTGGCGGCAAGAACGCTAGCCTTGAGCGGGAGAGGGACTTGTGAGCACAAAGCAACACAAGCGGCCAATAGAATCTCAGGAGCACTCACGTCTATCTGTGCGACGGAGTGCGGGTGGTCGGGGCTTGTGACGGCCGATACTTCAAAGCGGGCGAATGATTAATGAAATCTTAAAGCCTTCTACCAAGTGTTGCCTTGCTTTTATGCTTGTTTGTTGTTAGACCTTTATAGATATTGTGTCTTACTTGCATATTAGCTCCCCTCCAACCCAACTTGATGCGCTAAGGACTCGTGGTTCGGACCCGCTTGTGCCCGCTTTGAAGTATCGGCCGCCACAAGCCCCGACCACCCGCACTCCGTCGCCCAGATAGACGTGAGTGCTCCTGAGATTCTATTGGCCGCTTGTGTTGCTTTGTGCTCACAAGCAACTCTTCCGCTCAAGGCTAGCGTTCTTGCCGCCAAAAGGCTAGAGCGCGCCACACGTGTCGGGGTCCAAACTCCCGGACCGTGACACAATGGCACCGAATTTTTTTTGTATGAAGGATCTAAATTTAGACGAGTTGATCAATTGACTGAAAATTGAATATTTATCATAGTTTATATTACAAAATATACAAGGCCAACAGCAATACAGTTGAGATAGAGATGAGAGCAGGACATGTTGGCTGATTAAAAAGCAACTTGAACATATACCTATACATCATAATGCTACACAAAGGTTCTACCGGTGCTAGCTATAGGCCAGCTCACATTGGTTTGCAGCTACCAAAGCTTAAACCACAACGCAAAATTCAAGAAGACATGTTTTCAGCGCATAACATTTCATTAACATTCAGCAGCAGAAAGGCAGGTAAACTTCATGGACACTTTGAAAAAAGGGGTGGTCGGCAAATTTATGACTTGCAGAAAAGGCAAGTTCTATTGTTCGCAGGTATAGAATGCGAAGAAAAAGAGAGCACTTCAACTCTCAAATTTCTCTGACCAACCAATCCAAACTGGGGTATGCAAAGTAGAATTTCTCTCGACCCCTCCTCTCGCGGCACCTTTTGTTGCCTGCTGCTTCTCAGCCCAGACAATACAGTGTTGTTCGCGGCTCATTGCCTCCTCCCGCGGCCTGGTCGCGGACCCTGCTGTTTGGGGCTATATTCGCACTTTTCCACCATCTCAACTAGCTTAATTCAAAACAAAAAAATTACAGAGAAGAAGAGGGAAACAAAATTCAGAGGAAGAAGAAGATGGAAGTTAGAAAAATTGGGGAAATAGGAGTTTTATATAAGAACCCTAGTTTTAGGGGGAAGGAAATCGTTTTAATTGTGTTGGAGGAAAATTATGTAACTATGGTTAGTCCAATTAACTTAATTATGTTAGTTTAAGTAAAATAATGCTATATTAGAGAGTAATTAGATTACTAATGCTATTTAAGAGATTTTTTTAAAAAATTTGCTACCAATGAGAATGTGCAATAGTTTGTTGCTACCAATGAGAATTTTCCTTTATTTTAAATTATAAGACTTGTTCTTTTCAATTTATTTCAGCTACTTATTAGTTTTTATTATCATGTTAGCAGAATCACAGGACTTTTATTATTATTATTATTATGTTAAATATTGATAAACGGCATGGGCCACACCCGTCACAACCGTCCACTTTACACGACTAAGAAGGTTCCACCTCAAAACTATATGACAATGAGGGGAGTAACCCCTTAGCCTTATAAAGTGGAAACGATTATCCTCTTTCTTCAATGTGGGATATACATCCCAATACTAACTCACTTATACACTCAACCAATGTGGGACAATACACAACTGAAATTAATTTTACTGAACTGAAATTATTTTAATTGATCTTCTATTATATTTAATCTTTACAATTACTGAATATTATTTTTGTAAGGTGAAGTGAACAAAGTCTTAATCAGATAATACAATACAATTTTATCAAAGTAGTTTTTTTTTTTTTCCAAACAATTTGATCTAAGTTTATCTTTAATATGCCTCTAGTTTTGTGCCCGTGCGATGCTCGGGTTGTTTATTAAATTTTAAGATATATTTTAATCTATATATCAAATTTTAAAATATATCATTGATATAAAATTAGTTAGCAATTGACGTATTTTTGTAACGATTTAAACTTGTAGACATGTAATGACTAATAATAATAATATTGGTGAAAAACATTTCTTGACCCTGTCTGAAATGACTCGTGACCCGATCTGATTAACAGGTCTACAGAAAATAATAAAATTATATTAGATTGTGAAGTATATTATTTTATGATACAAAAAATAAATTTATATGATAATTTATGAGAGTTATAATCTAATTATTTTTTGAATAAAATTATAATTCAATTTGTACATATGAAATATTGGTACTTTATCAAAAATAAAACTCTAAATTAACAATTTTATCCTAAAATTATATCCAAAATTGATTGAAAATAAAATTCTAAACTAACTTTTTTATCCTACAAATTGATTTTTATATAACTCTATCCTACGTGGCACGGCACTTGGCAAAAAGTTGGAACGCCAAGCGTCGTTGTCTCGTCATCTTAGTTTAGCTTTATATATTAGTTATATGATTATTAAACGGACGGTTAAACCCAGAAAACCGTTGATGAATTCGTTCAGTAAGATCCTTATCCATTGAATGGCCTTCAAGGTTGATAGGAATTTAACATGGATCATGAGCAAACATGTTAAGAAAAGTTTCAACATCTATACTATATGCATTGAATACATTCTTTCTACATTGTAACTTTCTGAGGGAGGCTAAATTTTTTATTGAAGCCTCAAACTTCCAAACAATTTCTGTATCCCTATGAGGCTATGAGGATAATTCATTGATAGAAAGAATTTTTCGGGAGAATTTAACATTTACATTAGACCAAGGAACTTGATGAGAGAAGAGGGGGGTACCGGGGTATAGGAAAGAAAAATAAAGAAAAAGAAAATTTGATTCCTAACTCTTCTGCCTCCTGATCTTGAGATATATCAACTGACAACAGAATGTTGTATTTGATTCGGTAGTGTCTGAGGTTTCTTTCTAAAAGCATGCTTCCTACAATGTTCGAAGATGCTGTCGTAAATCAAATCAAATTGGACCCCTGCTCTCTCCCGGTTGATAATGAACAGAATGTGGTCTCCTTCAACGACTTTGTAATACCTGCACATATTTATTTTATGCAAGAAACCTGGTTAGACATACTAGAGATACATGGATACTAATAATCACACAGAAACATTGCTCAAGTTCTGTATCCCAGGAATATAGCACCATTGAGAGAAGATCTATCAAAATTTGACAAAAAAAAAAAGTTTACTACATCAGTGAAAAAATGGATAGACCAGAATATCAGCTAGAAACAACCTAGCCCCAAACCGAAATTACCTAACTTACTGGGATATTTTCTGCATTATTGACAATATTATACTTGGGAGTATTATATAATGTAACTATGACAATTAAGTTTTATTCCGCACATAGTGTTGGATGGCTAACACTTAGCAACATATCTAAACCCCAACAGTCAGAGCAACATGCTGAACATGCACCAACGGTGTTTCTAGTGGATGTCAACATAGTCTTCGAGGCAGTATCCAAAACATTGTACAAAATTCTGTCTACAACTCTACATCCTTTGTCTTCTGTCCTTGGTGACTCTCTCTACAACTAATGAACTACAATATTTGGTAACCGTCACATGGTATTCGGGTAAGAAATTTTCAGAGCCTCTATTATTCAGAGAAGTTCTGGCAGAACTGTGGAAATCATCGTACAGCACACAACCTTACATCATCTAGTGGCCTTCTAATATATAACATTATCTTCTGAACCCATCGCTCAATAATGTTACCAGCAACAGGTAGGGTCTACAAGAATGAGTCCTGAAACTTTCCGTCTTTCTGTTAATTCTTTCACGTTAGATCTTTGTCCGTACATCCATTAAAACATATCGTGCTTAATGATAAGGTCTTGACTCTTAAAGAGTAGCAGATGACAGAGCAATTGGCAATAATTTTAAGACAATAATTGTGATTACTAATTTGTTCCTACAATTTGAAAAAATATAAACAAACCAAAGAGCAATATCATAGAATACGGTTGGCAAGCTTGCTATGCTTTTAACTCAAATAAGGAAAGTACAGCATTTAACATACCAGATACCAGGTTGCAATGGCCGGCAATCTTTATCATTTGTGACAAGACAGTGGGGATGTTCGATAGGAAATCGAGGATACATCATGGATATTGTGTTGAGTGCCCCATCATTGTCCCACCAATCTTCATCCCTGTAACAAGTAAAGGATTATTTTTCTGTCTTACTCAAAAATAAAAACAGGAAGAACCATTGCAAGAAAGCTAAAAACAAGAATCTATTATCAGTATTTGATATTAACACTTCATATTGTCTTGTTCATTACACAACTTATATCATACTACTTTTGAAAGTTACAAAGCAAACAATTAAAAGTGTTATTTGACAAACTAGAAGCCTATTTTCTTCCTATAGGAGACACAAAGCTATTACAATTTACAAAAAACTAGCATACAACAGTAAAAGAGATGCTTTGAACCTAAAACCAAAACAATCGTGATCTCGGTCAAAAAAATTGCAAGCAAGAAAAAAAAATACGGAGTATTATCTATATAATCTAATAAAGTTGTTGATTTTACGTTACCATTTCATTCCAGCTAGATATATTAAAGGTTCTCACACAACAGTCCTCTCTGGAATTTTCATCAAAGGAAACATGGTATGCACTACCAAATGAAAATGATCAAATTTCTCATCTAATGCTAGCTACAAGAGTTCGAATAATACAAATATCAAATTACTAATTCCACGAAACTGCATATTTGTCTCGCCATTGACTAGTTGTAAAAGGATCTTGCACATCATCATATACAAATGTGAAATTAAGGAACCGGGTTAAGACCAGACTTGAGATCTCAGATACTTGGGGTCTCAAATTTTATGCAAGCCAATAG